CTTGGTGAATCTGACAGTTATGTGTCTTGGGGTTGCTCTTCTCGCGGAGTATCTTTGTGGTGGTCTCCGCATTTCCTGAATTTGAATGTTGGCCTGTCTTGCTAGGTTGGGGAAGTTCTCCGGGATAATATCCTGAAGAGTGTTTTCCAACTTAGTTCCATTCTCCTTGTCACTTTCAGGTACACCAATCAAATGTAGATTTGGTTTTTTCACATACTCCCACATTTCTTGGAGGCTGTGTGTGTTCTTTTTCACTCTTTTTTCTCTAATCTTGTCTTTTCACTTTATTTCATTAAGTTGATCTTCAATCACTAATACCCTTTTTCCACTTAATCAGTTCATCTATTGATACACCAGCCATTGTTACTTGTGTATGCTTCACAAGGTTCTCGTGCTGTGTTTTTCAGCTCCATCAGGTCATTTTGTTCTTCTCTAAACTGGTTATTCTAGTTAGCAATTTGTCTAACCTTTTTTCAAGGTTCTTAGCTTCCTTGCATTGGGTTAGAACAGGCTCCTTTAGCTCGGAGGAGTTTGTTATTACCCATCTTCTGAAGCCTACTTCTGTCAATTCCTCAAACTCATTCTCTGTTCAGTTTTGTTCCCTTGCTGGTAAGGAGTTGTGATCCTTTGGAGGAGAAGAGGCGTTCTGATTTTTGGAATTTTGGGTTTTGTGCTGGTTTCTCCCCATCTTCATGGATTTATTTACCTTTGGTCTTTGATGTTGTTGACCTTTGGATGGGGTCTCTGAGTGGATGACCTTTTTGTTGATGTTGATGCCAATTCTTTCTGTTTGTTAGTTTTCCTTCTAATAGTCAGGCCCCTCTGCTGCAGGTCTGCTGGAGTTTGCTGGAAGTCCACTCCATATCCTGTTTGCCTGGGTATCACCAGCGAAGGCTGCAGAGCAGCAAAGATTGCTGCCTGTTCCTTCCTCTGGAAGCTTCATCCCAGAGGGGCACCTGCCAGATGCCAGCCAGAGCTCTCCTGTTTGAAGTGTCTGTCAGCCCCTACTAGGAGGTGTCTCCTAGTCAGGATACACGTGGGTCAGAGACCCACTTGAGGAGGCAGTCTGACCCTTAGCAGAGCTCGAATGCTGTGCTTGGCGATCCACTGCTCTCTTCAGAGCCACCAGGCAGAGATGTTTAAGTCTGCTGAAGCTGCACCTGCAGCTACCCCTTCCTCCTGGTGCTCTGTCTCGGGGAGGTAGGGGTTTTATCTATAAGCCCCTGACTGGGGCTGCTGCCTTTTTTTTCAGAGATTCCCTGTCAAGGGAGGAGGAATCTAGAGAGGCAATCTGGCCACAGTGGCCTTGCTGAGCTGCGGTGGGTTCTGCCCAGTTCGAACTTCCAGGCGGCTTTGTTTACACTGTGAGCGTAGAACCGCCTACTCAAGCCTCAGCAGTGGTGGATGCCTCTCCCCCCACCAAGCTCGAGAGTCCCAGGTCAACCTCAGACTGCTGTGCTGGCAGTGAGAATTTCAAGCCAGTGGATCTGAGCTTGCTGAGCTCTGTGGGGGTAGGACCCTCCAAGCCCAACCACTTGGCTCCCTGGCTTCAGCACCCTTTCCAGGGGAGTAAACGGTTCTGTCTCACTGGCGTTCCAGGCACCACTGGGGTATGGAAAAAAAACTCCTACAGTTAGCTCGGTGTCTGCCCAAACGACTGCCCAGTTTTGTGCTTGAAATCCAGGGCCCTGGTGGCATAGGCACCAGAGGGAATCTCCGGGTCTGTGGGTCGCGAAGACTGTGGGAAAAGCACAGTATCTGGCCAGAATGCACCATTCCTCATGGCATGGCACAGTCCCTCATTGCTTCCCTTGGGTAGGGGAGAGATTTCCCTGACCCTTTGCACTTCCTGGGTGAGGCAACTCCCCACCCTGCTTTGGCTCGCCCTCAGTGGGCTGCACCCACTGTCCAACCAGCCCCAGTGAGATGAACCAGGTACCTCAGTTGGAAATGCAGAAATGACCTGCCTTCTGCATCGATCTTGCTGGGAGCTGCACACTGGAGCTCTTCCTATTCGGCCATCTTGCCAGCAACCCTCCATCTTCTAGAATTTTTATAGTTTCAGGTCTTAGGTTTAAGTACTTAATCCATCTTGAGTTGATTTTTTATAAGGTGAGAGAGAAGGATCCAGTTTCTTTCTCCTATATGTGGCTAGCCAATTATTCCAGCACCATTTGTTGAAAAGGGCTTCCTTTCCCCACTTTATGTTTTGTTTACTTTGTTGAAGATCAGTTGGCTGTGAGTATTTGGGTTTATTTCTGGGTTCTCTATTCTGTTCCAATGGTCTGTGTGCCTGTTTTTGTATGAGTACCATGCTGTTTTGGTGACTGTGGCCTTATAGTATAGTTTGAAATCAGGTAGTGTGATGCCTCCAGATTTGTTCTTTTTGCTTAGTCTTGCTTTGTCTATGTGAGCTGTTTTTTGGTTCCATATGAATTTTAGAATTGTTTTTTCTAACTCTGTGAAGAATGATGGTATTTTGATGGGGATTACGCTGAATTTGTAGATTGCTTTTGGCAGTATGGTCATTTTCACAATATTGATTCTACCAATACATGAGCATGGGATGTGTTTCCATTTGTTTGTGTCATCTGTGATTTCTTTCAGCAGCGTTTTGTAGTTTTCCTTGTAGAGGTCTTTCAACTTCTGTGTTAGGTATATTCCTAAGTATTTTAGGTATTTTTTTGCAGTTGTAAAAGGGGTTGAGTTCTTGATTTGATTCTCTGCTTGGTCGCTGTTGGTGTATAGAAGAGCTACTGATGTGTGTACATTAATTGTGTATCCGGAAACTTTGCGGAATTCCTTTATGAGTTCTGGGAGCTTTCTGGAGGAGTCTTAGGGACTCCTAAGGTAAACAGTCATGTCATCAGCAAACAGGGACAGTTTGACTTCCTCTTCACTGATTTGGATGCCCTTTATTTATTTCTCTTGTCTGATTGCTCTGGCTAGGACTTCCAGTACTATGTTGAAGAGGAGTGGTGAGAGTGGGCATCTTTGTCTTGATCCTGTTCTCCGAGGGAATGCTTTCAACTTTTCCCCATTCAGTATTATGTTGGCTGTGGGTTTGTCATACATTGCTTTTATTACATTAAAGTATGTCCCTTGTATGCTGATTTAACTGAGGGTTTTAATCATAAAGGATGCTGGATTTTGTCAAATGCTTTTTCTGCACCTATTGAGATGATCGTGTGATTTTTGTTCTTCTTTTAAGAATTACATTTATTACATGTATTGACTTGAGTATGTTAAACCATCCCTGCATCCCTGGTATGAAACCCACTTGATCATGGTGGATTATCTTTTTGATATGTTGTTAGACTCAGCTAGTATTTTGTTAAGGATTTTAGCATCTGTGTTCATCAAAGATAGCGGTCTGTAGTTTTCTTCTTTGGGTGCATCCTTTCCTGGTTTTGGTATTAGGGTGATGCTGGCTTCACAGAATGAATTAGGGAGTGTTCCTTCTTTCTCCATCTTGTGGAATAGTATCAAAAGGATTGGTACCAATTCTTTGAATGTCTGGTAGAATTCTGCTGTGAATCCATCTGGTCCTGGACTTTTTTTTGTTGGTAATTTTTTAATTACCATTTCAGTCTCACTGCTTGCTATCGGTCTGTTCAGAGTATCTAATTATTTCTGATTCAAGCTAGGATGGTTGTATTTTTCCAGGACTTTATCTGTTTCGTCTACATTTTCTAGTTTATGTGTGTAAAGGTATTCATAGTAGCCTTGAATGATCTTTTGTATTTCAGTGGTGTCAGTAATATCTCCTGTTTCGTTTCTTAGTGAGGTTATTTGGATTTTTCTCTGTTCTTTTCTTGGTTAATCTTGCTAATGATCTATCCATTTTATTTATCTTTTCAAATAACCAGCTTTTTGTTTCATTTGTCTATTGTATTTTTTTGTTTCAGTTTCATTTAGTTCTGGGAATGGTGGCAGTGGGTTGGGTGGGTGAGTAGGTTTTCAAGCCACTGGGCAGCAAACATGGGCAATGGCAGTAGTAGTAGTGGGACAACCCTCTGGGATCCAAGCAGTCAGCGGTGGTTTTGGCAGTGGCTATGATGGGCTGCGTGGGCCAGTCCTCAGACTTGCTGATGGCATATGTGGGTGGGTGCCAGCTGTGATGGTAATGGCAGGTTGATTGGGCCCAGACTCTGGGAGGAGTGCTCAGGTGCCAATGGTAGTGTCCTGGGCAGGGCAATCCTCAGATCCCTGGACCATGTGCTTGGTTACTGGTGGAGATGAAGCAAGGCTGGGCAGATCTGCCCCCAGGTTCCCAAGGTGTTGTGTGCAGGTGCTGGCTGTTGTAGGCAGGGGTGGGATGATTTCCAGGCCACCAGCAGAATGCTTAGGTTGGGACAGTAGCAGCTGCATTGTAGCTCTGCTGCTAGGGATGGTGGGTTTGCTTTCAGTGAGTTGCTCGTGCAGATGGTGAATGTCAGTGGGTCTCTAGGGACGTGGAGATGCAGGGGCTGTAGGGCCGGGCCCCAGGGCAAGATGCAGGTCCACTAGGAGCTGGGCTCTCAAAATAGTGCCATGCTACAGTTCCTTAGGTCTTGGGTGTTTGTGGGACCTAGTGTGAGTTCCCTCTTGAGCAGTGCTTTCATGTGGTCTCCAGGTAATGCCCTGTTAGTCTTGAGACCCACAAGGGTCAAGGGGCTATTTGGTGATTAGGATTGTAGGAGTCCTTGGTGGGAATGTGGATTGCTGGGGATTGCTCACTTTCCTTTTCCTCCAGTTAGGCAGCCTCTGTAGACTCCTAGCTAATCCTGTCAAGACAGGCTGCTTTGCTTCATTCCTTGCTTTTGATGCTTCCTGTCATTTTGAATTCCACTATTCGCTGTTAGATCTACGTGAAGTAGGATTGTCTGCTCATTATTCTGGTTCCCCTCTGTGGAAGAGGTGAGCACTGAATGTATCTAGTCAGCCATCTTGCTTGAAGTCCCTCCTGCTTCACAGATTTTTATTTTTTGACAATGATTTATGTGATTGCTTATGACTAGAAAGCCATCACTGCCCAGGTAGAAGAGAAGCGCAGGAAGAAACAACTGGAGGAAGAGCAAAGAAAGAAGGAAGAAGAAGAAGAGGAGCTTCGCTTAGCACAGGAACGTGAAGAGATGCAGAAACAGTATGAAGAAGACATACTTAAGCAAAAACAAAAGGAAGTAGGTATTTACATTCTAATTGTAACTTTGATTTTTGATTTTGTTTTTGAGACAGGGTCTCACTCTTCTGCTCAGGTTGGAGTACAGTGGTGCAATCATAGCTCACTGCAGTCTTGACCTCTGGGTACAAGTTGTCCTTCCACCTTGGTCTCCTCAGTAGCAGGGACTACAGGCAGGTACCACCACATTTGGCTGATTTTTTTGTTGGTGTGTGGAGGAGACAGGGTCTCACTATGTTGCCTAGGCTGGTCTCAAGCTCTTGGGCTCAAGCGATCCTTCCACCTCAGCCTCCTAAAGTATTGGTATTACAGGTGTGAGCTACCATGTTTGGCCTCCTAATTGTAACATTTTAGAATAAAAATGGATGTATTTTTAAAGGAAAAATAACCAGAAGTTGAACATTTCTATTATTTTGAAATTGTGAAGCTATGTATGGACATGTCAGACCTTCACATAAAGTTAGGAAAGAGGGAAGCTTGAGAAAGTTTCATTATTTCACATGATAATAGTTCTCAAATGTTATATTGGTTTGGCTTTTTCTGTAGAGGAGGTCACAGCACAAAGCAGGTGTTACCTATGCACTTCATTTTTATCTACTCCTAGTTTCTTTGCTTCATTTCTAAGCAATAATTATTATATTAATAATTATTCTAGGTATGTTAAGAGAAATGATTGACCTATCAGTATCCACTTATGAACAGGAACATACATTTGCAGAATAATTGGCTGGGATTGATGATACAATTTGTGACTGTCCTAGAGATCTCTGTGTTAAATGACTTTTTTTTTTTTTTTTGAGACAGAGTCTCGCTCAGTTACCCAGGCTGGAGTGCAGTGGCGTGATCTCCGCTCACTGCAAGCTCCGCCTCCTGGGTTCACGCCATTATCCTGCCTCAGCCTCCCAAGTAGCTGGGACTACAGGTATCCGCTGCCACGCCCGGCTACTTTTTTGCATTTTTAGTAGAGACGGGGTTTCACCGTGTTAGCCAGGATGGTCTCAATCTCCTGACCTCGTGATCCACCCACCTCGGCCTCCCAGAGTGCTGGGATTACAGGCGTGAGCCACCGCGCCTGGCCTAAATGGCCTTTTTAAAAAGTAGATACTAGGAGACAACATAGGTATGCATACATACCTATCTTATCTGCACCACTAGGAGAACCCTAAGTGGTGTAGACAAGATAGGTATGTATGGTGGTGGTACCATATTTGAGCTAACCTAACAAAAATACTCACTTGCTAAAGTTTTAAAATGTAGAGCACTTTAAACGTTTTCTTGCCTTTTACTGCAGTTTTCCCCCTTGGCAACCTTCACTCCAAAATTGGCTAGTAAAGGGACACATGGTCTGGGTTCCAGTTTCATTGAGTTGAATAGGTTGAGCCAGTTACCCCTATGTAACATGAGGAAATCAGTAAAGTATCATTTGAACTGCAAGAAGTGGTCATAAACCTTGTGTTTACCTTTTAAAATATATTTTTAAATGTAATAGAACAGTTTTTAAAACTTTGAAAACTTTTAGTATAAATTTGAAATGGGTAAAAAGTTACCATATTTGTGATTGAATACAGCTGTAGAAAAAGATGTTAAAATGTAAGCTCCAGAAGGGCAGGAACTTTGCCTTGTTGACTGTTCTAACCTTAGTATGTAAACAAGTGCCTGACACATAGGAGAAGCTTAGAAAATATTTACTGAGAGGAAATAGTCAAGTCTTTGTATGTTTAATAGTTGTATTTAATAACACATCAATATTGACAGGAAATCATGACTGTCAAGACAAATGAGCTATTCCAGACAATGCAGCGAGCGCAGGAACTGGCACAGAGACTAAAACAAGAACAGAGAATCCGAGAATTGGCGCAAAAGGGACATGACACTTCTAGATTGATTAAAAATCTTGGTGGTAAGGGCTTAACCAGAACTTTATTTATAATATTTTTAGAAGATGATTTTAAATAATGCCTTTTTTCTGTGTTTGGAGAAAAGGACTCATTCTGTTGCCTAGGCTAGAGTGCAGTGGTGCCATCACAGCTCACTGCAACCTTGTATTTTTTGTAGACATGGAATCTCGCTTTGTTGCCCAGGCTGGTCTTGAACTACTGCCTTCAGATGACCCTCCCACCTTGGCCTCCCAAAGTGTTGGGATTACAGGTGTGAGTCATTGCACCCAGCCTAAATGATTGCCTATTTTTAATACCTTTAATATACCTACTATTTTCGTAGGAATTTCAGACCTTAAACTAGTGTAATTTTATAAATAGGAATGCTTAATTTATGTGGAAAATTGCAATAAAAGCAGAAATAATGTTAAAATGTGTTAAATAATGTTAAAATAATAGGTAAAATGTGTACTTTTTGTGTCTGTTTTTACAGAGAACAATTATGAAATGATCTCCCTAAATTCAGTAACTGATAGGAATGTGGGTAACTTTTTGTAAGAAAATTGTTATTGCAGTGTTCATCCTCATTAAGTGAAAATTATTGTATTTAGTTGCTGCTATACATACATAATTTTTATTAATATTCCTTAAGTGTTGTTTTATCAGGTAATTTCTCTTTGCCAGTTGATACAATACAAATGGAATATAACGCATCTACTAACATTTCAAATTCAAGACATGATTCTGATGAAGTCAGCGGTAAAGTGAATACATACACGAATTATACAACTTCTAAGAAGGATACTGGTGTGCAAACAGGTATTTGTGTAGAAACTGTGGTTTGATTTAAAATTTAAAGTCATAATTAAAGCAATTAGAATTAAGTTCAATTTAAAAGTTCAAAAATTAATGAAAGGTGAGGTTTTCAGTAAGTTACAAAATAAGGGGTAACAGCTTTGTTGAACTATGTCACATACCACAAAATTTACCCTACAGTTTAGTGTTTTTTGGTATTCAGTGGTGCAACCATTACCGCAATCAATTCTAAAACATTTTGATCACTCTAGAAAGAAACACTGTACCCATTACTTGTCACTTTCTATTTCTTTCTTCTTTCTCCTCCAGTTAACGTTCTGTCTCTGAATATTTCTGCCTGTTCTGGACATTTCATGTAACTGGAATTAGACCACATAGTCTTCTCTGACTTCTTTCTCTTAGCATGTTTTAAGGTTTATCCTTGTTGTAGCATGTGTCAGTACTTCATTCCTGTTTGTCACTGAATAAATACTACATTTATAATACCACATTTTTATTCATGAGTTGATGAACATTGGTGTTATTTCCACTTTTTGGCTATTATTAATATGCTGCTGTGAATATTCATATATAGATTTTTGTGGATGTACATTTTTAGTTCTTTTGAGAGAAGAGTAGAATTGCTGAGTCACGAGTAACAGGTACTGTATGTTCAGCATTTTGAAGAACCACCAAACTCTTCTCCAAAGCAGTGGTATCATTTTACATTTCCACCATCAGTGCATGTGGGTTCTGATTCTCTATATTCTTGCCAACCCTTGTTATTCTACTGATTGTGAAGTGTTAGGTGATTTTGGTTTGCATTTCCCCCAGTGACTGATGATGTTGAGCATCTTTTCATGATTATCAGTTCATAGAGATGGAAATTAGAGTGGTGGTTGCCAGTGGTTGGGAGTATGAGGGGTTGTTCTTTAATGAGTATAATAAGAGTTTTGGTTTTGTTGAAAATCAATGAAAGAAAAAAGTCTCAGAGGGCAGTAATTGTTTAATGTTTTGGGGAAAGTTATTTAAAATTAAAAATTTTGTTTATAATTTTAAAAAATCATTTGAAACTTTTTTTTAGATGACTTAAATATAGGAATATTCACCAATGCAGAATCACATTGTGGATCATTAATGGAGAGGGACATCACAAATTGTTCATCTCCTGAGATTTCGGCAGAACTTATTGGACAGTTTAGCACCAAGAAAAACAAGCAAGAACTAACTCAGGATAAAGGAGCCAGCTTAGAAAAAGAAAACAATCGGTATAATGACCAGTGTAATCAGTTCACAAGAATAGAGAAACAAACAAAACACATGAAGAAATATCCTAAAAGGCCTGATTGGAATATAAATAAGCCACCTAAAAGGTATATTCCAGCATCAGAAAAGTACCCTAAACAGCTTCAAAAGCAAAGAGAAGAAAAAAAAGTAAGGAGGCAGATGGAATTGCTTCATTTGGTAGAAAAAAATAATCCTGGGCACCTCTCTCAAAACAGAGGCATTTCACCAGAAATTTTTCATTCATCTCATCAAGAAACTGAGTCAAAGTTCAGGTGGCATCTAGTCAAAAAGGTAAAGCTCTTCCATCTTAGAAGATGTATTGATATTTCTAGATTCAAAACAGTTTCTCACATGTATGCTTTGGTAAGGCTGTTCTGATCTGTTTCCGTTTACATTAGGGATCAGCAAACTATATCCCATGGGCAAATCCAGGCTGCTATCCGCTTTTGTAAAATTTTATACGAACATAGTCAATTCATTCTTTTATGAATTGTCTATGGCTGACTTCACACAACAGACTAGCAACAGAAACAATATGGCCCACAAAGCTGAAAAGGTTTTCTTATTGAGTCCTTTACATTTAACACAACTTCTATAGATGAATGCTATGTGTTCAAATACTCCTTTGAAACCCTTGTTTATAGTCCATATAGACAGAGGTCAGTTTGGGAGATTAGGAACTACTGGATTAGTTTGACTCTGGAAAAATACTGAATCTATCTATTCTGTTGCTCAGTTGGTACCTGTTATTCAAATATTACCCTCAGATTATTTCAATAAGTAGCTCTAAAAATATTTGTGGGGACATGTGAAAATGCTATATATTCCTTTCTGCATTTATCCATCTTTTAGGAAGAAGAGCCTCTGAATATTCATTCATTCAGCAAGGAAAGGTATGTATGCATCAGATTTATTCTGCAGCTATTTAGTGCTTTCTGTGTGGGACAAAAAAGGGATTCAAGATCTGGACGGCACGAGGCATATAGTTATATATAGAGAACAGTCAGAAAGGGTGTGGCTTCCAGGTGAGGGTTAGAGGATTAAGGGATAGGGTGGCACTTTAGCTGGAGCTTGAAGGCCCGTGTTGGACTGGGCCTAGGCAGGAATGTAGATAACATTTACTTTTATCTCTAGACTTAACTAAGTGATTCTGATATTCCAGGTATGTCACTAGCAGAATAGGCATTCTGCTTTGGGAGGAGGGATGGCCAGGAGCGGTGAATGGGAAGAAATGACTGATAAGGACAATGAGAAATTCAGTCAATGAGAGATTTAGAAATTAGAATCTTTATTCTGTCTTTGTGCATGAACCAGCTGGTTTAGTTGTCTCAGAATGGGGCTTAAAAACAAGTTTCGTTCAGATGGTGAGTATATTATTTTATGGTGAATTATCTAAGGAGAAAACAGTAGGCTCAGATTAACCAAACCAGCAGTGTTCCTCAGGATCTAGTAATTAAATGTCTCCCTTGTGCTACAGTACACATACCATAGCTAGTGCTAGTAAAAAATAAATACCATTCTTTTCCCCTGTTTTATGGAACGATATTATAGAGCTCAGGCTTCTATGCATATATTCCCAAAGGTGTTACAGGTACATTTAGAATAAAGTGAAATGGGCCAGGCATGTGGCTCACGCTTGTAATCCCAGCACTTTGGGAGGCCGAGGCAGGTGGATCACCTGAGGTCAGGAGTTCAAGACCAGCCCTGGCCAACGTGGTGAACCCTGTCTCTACTAAAAATACAAAAACTAGCTGGGCACAGTGGTGTGCGCATGTAATCCCAGCTACTTGGGAAGCCGAGACAGGACAGGTTGCTTGAACCCAGGAGGCAGAAGTTGCAGTGAGCTTACATCACACCACTGCACTCCAGCCTGGGCAACAGAGCAAGACTTCATTTCATAAAGTGAAATGTGATCAAAGAGAGATACTTAATCTAAATACACAGTTTTTTACTAAGGCTCCTATTTTTCTTTTAATAGGTCTCCATCACCACCAGTTCCAGCAGTGAAAAACAGAACTCAACAAACTCAAAATACATTACACTTACCACTAAAAAACAGTAGCTATGAGAGAGAGAATTTGATTTCAGGAGGTAATCAAATAGAATTATCACCTGGAATTTCTGAATCATCCCATTTTATTCCCTATGTTCGAACAAATGAGATCTATTACCTTGATCCCGATGCACCATTGTCTCAGCCTTCAACCCAGGACCCTCAGTACCAAAATTCACAAGGTAAGTAAATATAAGCATTCTAACTGTAAAAATTGACCCATGTAAACCCCCAACTTTAAATTCCAAATTAGTAATTCCTGCACTTAGTTCTAGAAAGTTTCTTACAATGTTTGCTCCTGGAGAAAGGAAGGAATTTTCTCTTGAGTATGTCTTAAATTTTGCTTAGTACTTTCCTAGGATACATATTTATTAATGACTCCTTAGAATATTATATAGCACAGGGCTGTATCATTTGACTAATGTAATTGGCTGATTTGTTACTTTCATCTCGCTTTAGACTGTGGCCAAGAACGACAGCTATTTGATTCTGACTGTGTCAGGGATCCACTTCTTAATCCTAACATGGTGAAAAATAGGGATCGACAGCAAGCAATCCTTAAGGGACTTTCAGAACTGAGACAGGTATGAGCTTTTTCAAGTGTAGATGTGTCTGTTCTTTATGTGGCGTGGGCGGTTCGGGGAACATGTTGAATGGCTGTTTTAAGTTACTTTGATGCATCCCAGGTTTTAACAAGTATTTCAGTTCCTGTATGTTAGACACAAATAAAATGGGACTTTCCTTGGACTTGCTTTTACATTGCCGTCTTTGAGCAGTTCTTTCCAGTACGAAATCATGAGACAGTTCCAAAATTAAGACAAGTTTATTGAGTAAAAAAAATGCATACATTGGAACGGCAAAACATCAATAAGGCCCTAAAACAAAAAATACAGTTACGCTTTAACAAATTCTTAGCAATATGTAGCTTTTAAAAAAACTTGACGTGTTGGCAGTGTTTAGAAATATTGACGTACATCCCAAATAGTAGTAAATTCAGTATGAAATTATACGTATAACCTTACTCACCAGATTACTTTTTCTCCCAAACTATTGTGACTTCTCATTATTTTACTCTCTGATTAAAACAGGTGACATCCTTACAACCTTTGCTCCATCCCTTGGGCTTTAAAAAGAATGGCTGTAGTTAGCTTTGATTCACTATATACTCTGTACTCAGGGAAGAATAAGCTGTGTTGTTTATAAGTGCCCTTTTCCATGTCATCATGTACCAATACCCTCTGCATTTCAAAATGCTGACTCAGATGTCTTCCCTCTACAGAACTAGAAAATTGTCCCCTTTGGTCTATTTACTCATTTGAAGACAAACAGGATTACTAAGAGTTTTACATAAATTATTTCTTTAGAGTGACAAAGTGTTAATTTACTTCTTGCTTAGTGGAGACAAAAATTATGAGATAAAGAGAAAGGAATATGATGTACACATTTACCCACAAATATAGTGCCCAGTGTTATTTCAGCAGGACCCTTCTATTAGCATCTAAGATAAGGTTAGGACAGTCAAGATAAACACTGGATGTTGGCCAGGCGCAGTGTGGCTCAAGCCTGTAATCCCAGCACTTTGGGAGGCCGAGGCAGGTGGATCACGAGGTCAGGAGATCGAGACCATCGTGGCTAACACAGTGAAACCCTGTCTCTACTAAAAACACAAAAAATTAGCTGGGTGTGGTGGTGGGTGCCTGTAGTCCCAGCTATTTGGGAGGCAGGAGAGTGGCATGAACCTGGGAGGCGGAGCTTGCAGTGAGCCGAGATCGCACCACTGCACTCCAGCCTGGGAAACACAGCAAGACTCCGTCTCAAACAAAACAAAACAAAAAAAACAAACACTGTATGTATGTTAAGGGAGACGCCTCCTAGTATCTAAGAGCAGTTGGGGATGGATTGGGGGAGAGGGAATGACTTCATTTACCCCCATAGTTTTGGAGGCTTGATTTTTAAGAAAATTCTCATCCCTACTGATTTTTATGCTAAAAATACAATCTTACAAATGTGATAGCTATATATCCAAATGAAGTGGTCTAGTACAAGCATTTCTGAAAAATTGTTGAATGACAATTTTATCCTAAGCAATATGTTTTCCAAGTGAATAGAATTCTAGTTTAACACAACATTGCAAGTCAGGTGTGCACATTTTACTAACATATATCAATGTGATTTCAGGGCCTTCTCCAGAAGCAAAAGGAGTTGGAAAGTAGTCTCCTGCCTTTAGCTGAAAATCAAGAAGATAATTTTGGTTCTTCATTTTAAATGTAGAAAATCAAATCATTCACATTTGATTTGTGTCTTCCAAATTATAAAATGTGCTCACTGGCTCAACGGTATTTTTCAAATAACCTAGATTTTATTTTTTTAAATGCTCATTAAAAACTTGTATACTATGTAGTAAAATGCTGTACTTGTTCTATACAATAAAACAGATACTTTTGTAAAAGCTTAGTAGTAAAAAAAACATGTTCTTCTGCTCTGTCACCACCTGAGTATTGAAGCCCTATAAAAAAAAACACTTACTACTTACCTTAATATAGTCTGGCGTTCCTGGGACCTCACAGTGTTCTTTCACACTTTTTATGTAACTTATTAAGTGAAATACCACTCATGCATTTGTTCTACAGTGCCAAAGTTCTAACTTATTAACACGTCTAGACCCATAACTCTATATAACTTTACTAAAATAACAAATTCAATTTAAGCTTCTGTGGAAATTGTTTTCTTCTCTAAATCCTGCTTTTATGACATTTGTAGAAACTGCAATTTTCAAAAACATTTTTATAAGTTAGCATTAGCAACAAGTTAGTAATTAGTATTAGAGGCAGTAGTTAGGAATAGATGTAGGTTTGAAAGCTATCTCCACTGTATCTTTCTAGTATAGCACTAATGTGTTCAACAAATGGTAATTACTACTAAGACCACCTCAAAAATATATTTCCATTATACTTCAATATTGCTAAAACTAATTTAAAAATCAAATTGTTCAATGCCATTGATAAACAGAAGCCTATCTTCTGAAATATAAAAGTTAATTTCATTAAATCAAGGATTGCACAAGTACTGAAAAATCGAATGCTCTCGAAGTTACCGGAATTTTAGCAATAGGCAGTTTTTACGTGACTAAGCCTAGAGATAAAAAAAGTGTCCTATGTACATAGTTTATTATCTAAATGAAACTGCATTGTTAAATCTTGAGGTATTGAGCCAAAATCCTGTAAATATTAACACTGCTATTACTGGCTTATACCTGTGTAAAAACACTATACAAAAGCCTAAATCAAAATAATTCACTTCAACAAAAGTACTTTGTATCAGGTGACATTAGAGCAAAAGAAGTAAAGCCTTTGCTGTTTACCGTCCTCCTGCAAGCATCTGATTTTACACATAAAACAGGCTTCAATTTGAAGCCTAACTACAGGTAACATACAAAAGTAAAACTTAGGAAGTGCCAACATGAGATAATTCAAGTACAATATATGTTAAAAATATATATTTATTTCAATTTTTAGATGCTTCAACTGTTACAGACCATCATGATTTAAATAAAAGAAAAAACATTTGAGAAAGAACAAGAACCTTTTGTTTAGAGAATGAAATATAAATTGTTAATAAAGTCCACAACAATCTATTAAAAAAAAAATGTTACTATAGTTATTTCTCTTGTGAATATGGCCTGGAAGAATCACTTTTCCCTCCACTTAAGGGAGGTGGAGATTTATCTCTATCCAAGCTTTGAGTATAAGCAGATAAGAAGTAATTTTCATTTTCTTGAGACTGACTTGATGAAAGGGCATATGGTGTCCCCAAAAATGTCTGATGAGTGAGAACATTAAAATGACTAAACTGATGAGACATATTTAATTGACTATGATAAACCTGAAAGTTACTATATGAATCTTGTTCTGTTGAATTGCTGTTCTCTCCTTCAGAGCATACTATATCAACAGAAGTTCTCTCTTCAGAATCAAGATAAGTCTTATCTTCTAATAAACTGTTTTGCACATCAGGAGACGACTGCAACTCAATTTGAGTATTCTTTTTTTGATCTGTTCCACGTGATCCTTTGGTCTCTCTCTCCCATATTTCTGAATGAAAATTGCTGCATACTTCTATATGTGAGATTTCATCCCCTGAATCCAGAGACATATCCTCTTCATCCTTTTCATCGTTTTCTAAAAGAGCTACATTTAAAAAACAAAAAGTCCTCCTCTATTGAAATACACAGTTTGTTTACGTTTTAAAATTATACACTACTCACACAATATAACGCGTCAGGGTCTGCAAGTCCACAATCCCTTAAAGCTTGGTCTTCTGCCACAAGTTCACTTAGTCACAACACTCACACTAGATGTGAATGTCCAGATAATCCGATGCTAAAAGCTTCTGCGAAATGTGTTCACGTTTAATGTTGGGAAATCCCAACTCCCAGCTCCAAAGGGGTTAATGTCAAAACAGCATCTAAAGTTATACGGTAATTCAGTATTTGACAAGACAAATATAAAATAAAATTTTTTGACATCTAGCTTCACTGGATTACTAAACTGGTTAGCACTACTGAATGATCATTTCTGCTTTTTTTCATCCAAAACAAAAGTACATCTTTCATTTCACATAGAACCTGGAACCAAAGCAGAGGCCATCTCACGAAAGACTAAAGCTATGACAGCTCTACTATCTTGCAATTAAACTGCTTTATACATGTGGGGAGGTCTAGCAGCTCAATGCTGAATCGCCATATCTGGTTTCCTACCTTTTTATTAATATAACCCCTTTGCTGACAGTAGTAACCAATAATGCTTACAAACCCTTGAAGAGAAAATGCATACTCCATAGTATGCATTGTCTACAATATAGATAGAAATGCATAATCTATAATAACTAACAACTTAGACTGGCTACAGTATAATAAATGAGATCTTGTGCATGCTAAGTATTAGAATGATAAATGTCTTCAAACACTTTCCCTATGACTGTTTATACTGAGGCGAGTGGTTTCAAAACAGTCATTTCATTATTTGGTAACAGAACAAAACCATTCCTCTTTTACTGTCTGCGTTAAAGAAAATGAAAACCACTGAAAAGTTACCTGACTGGGACTCAAGATTCTCATTAGCACCAAGCTGCGGAAGGTTTTCTTCTGTGATTGAGTTGTGATAGCCCACAAGATTTTTAAAGTTTTGCATGAAGTCTTCAGCAGTTGCAACCACTATTCCATTATCTGTATAACTGGAAAGCATCTTGATGGTCTTCTCTAAATTAAGAAAAAACGTTTCATGTATGAAACCCTTCAAAATGTAGACAGCCCCCAGCCCTCACAAAATCCTTTCCTTCACATTTTCAGAATCAAAGCTTAGCGATACCCACCACAGCCCCATAAAATCCTTTCATCCACATTCCTATATTCATAATAGAAAGCTTAGGAGTGCTCTCTTTACCTGTTAAAAAGACTATGTGTCGTTGCTGTATGTTCTGAGCCTGAAGTCTGATAAGGCAATCCAATTCTGGAGCATTTCGAGTTTGTGAATCACAATTGTGGTATGACAAAATTTCAACCAGATGTTTCTTCTGATAGACATTCAGAAGCGTCAACAGACTTAGAGCTTTAGCATTCAATCTGTGAAATTAAGCAGTTCAGTATCTGGATCTGTACTTCTAAAATTTAGTATGGAAATTTCTGCTGTAGATTAAAATTCAATTTCTTCCATTGAGGCAACTAATGACAACTGCACTGCTTTAGCTCTCTGCCTGGTGTACGGGCGTGCTTCTTTGGAAAGAGAGAAAGGGGTTTCTTGGTCGCAAGGCCTCAGGGCCAGCTATACAGCTTAGGCTAAAATCTCAGCTGATTGTTCTACTTAAAGTATGATTACCTCTATCAATTTTGAACTTTAATGAAGGACTTAAAAGGACAAAAAAAGTATAAATCCTTCCTTCAAAAAATACAATATACAGACCAGGCCTGATGGCTCACGCCTGTAATCCCAAAACTTTGGGAGGCCAAAGCAGTTGGATCACCTGAGGTCAGGAGTTCAAGACCAGCCCGGCCAACATAGTGAAACCCCATCTCTACTCAAAATACAATTAGCCGGATGAGGTGGCTCATGCCTGTAATCCCAACTACTTGGGAGGCTGAGGCGGGAGAATCACTAGAACCCAGGAAGCAGAGGTTGCAGTGAGCTGAGACTGCACTATTACACTCCAGTCTGGGCAACAAGAACTAAAGTCTCTTAAAAAAAAAAAAAAAGTACACTATTATGGCTCTAAACTCTTTTTTTTTGTTTGTTTTGAGACAGAGTCTCGCTCTGGCGCCAGGCTGGAGTACAGTGGTGCGATCTCGGCTTGCTGCAACCTCCGCTTCCTGGGTTCGAGCGATTCTCCTGCCTCAGCTTCCCGAGTAGCTGGGACTACAGGCGTACACCACCACACCCAGTTAATTTTTGTATTTTGAGACGGGGTTTCACCATGTTGGACAGGATGGTCTCAATCTCCTGACCTCGTAATCCGCCTGCCTCAGCCTCCCAATGTGCTGGGATTACAGGCATGAGCCACCATGCCCGGCCGGCTCTAAGCTGTTTCTATATTGCAAGGGACAAGCAACAAGTGGAGATAAGCTTTTAAAAGTGAATTGCTACAAAGAATTAAATACTCAAAACTTATTTAAGCCTGAATTTCCTGAAAAGTGTACCATGGAATGTCATACTTTAAGAAATAAAATCTTGTGGTCTAAGTTTAAGGAAATAATGATTAACACAATGTAAAACAATTCTTTTAACTAGAGTTCTTCATATCCTTTAATGTGTACATACATTTTATAGACTTTACTAGTAGGATATAGTGTCCCAAATGTGCCTGATTACCACAATCATTTATGGACTCTCTCAAGTGACTAGTGTTCCAAAGATCACACTTGAAGAAGTGACTCCCATGCATGTTAGAAATTACCTATATATACATGAACTGATGTCCTACTCACAAATCACTTCACCAGGTCAAGATTAATCCTTGTCCAAATATATGTAATTTTATTAGCTACCTACAAAGTAGTCAGTTGGCTCAGAGAGGGTCTGATGTAGTTGGTACAGTTCAGTTAAAAAAGGAAAATGCTGGCCAGGCACAGTGGCTCACGCCTGTAATCCCAGCACTTTGTGAGGCCAAGGCAGGCGGATCACCTGAGGACAGAAGTTCGAGACCAGCCAGGCCAATGTGGTAAAACCCCATCTCTACTAAAAATACAAAAATAAGCCGGGCATGGTGGCAGGCACCTGTAACCTCAGCTACTTGAGAGGCTGAGGTGGGAGAATCGCTTGAACCCGGGAGGCGGAGGTTGCAGTGAGGCGAGATTGCCCCACTGCACTCCAGCCTGGGCTGCAAGAGCAAAACTCCATCTCAAAAAAAAAAAAAAAAAAATGCTGATCATTCCATTTGGATGATTACTCTAAATCCACAAATGGCAAAGATTAAACA